ATGAAAGTGCGTACATATTTTTTTCAATAAGTGTCTAACTATGTTTCTCTATATATGTGAATTGATGCTAGTATAAAATGTCAATATGTAGATGCATTAGTGTGCAAAACAAACAAGCGGTTTGGAGTGTTGATTCTACGTGATGAAATTCATATACGACGCCGTTAAATATATCACGAGTGGTCAAGATATGGATCAAGTAAATATCATTACTAATTTTCCAATCATTTTAATTTCTTTTCCTATGTTAGTTATGTATTTATACACATGGCATAATTGTAAATGTTTAATATTTTAGGCTTATACAAGCATCAAAGTAGATGGGCCTTTTTTAAGCGATAATTTGTTGTAAATTATACCGTAGTGATAAATTTACTATAAAACCGTGTTTTGTATTGTAGTCATTGTGTATTAATTTTGTGGTGTATTACTTTTTTTTAATTTGTGGTGTTTTTTTAACCCGGAAGGTAAGCCACCAAAATCAATGGGGTAAACGTCGGGGGACGTTTACCACATTTTATTAATAAAGAAAATGATACAAAAAGAGAGGGGGGCAATACCAAAACCTCTCAATGGAAGGCATACCTTCTCAAAATACAACTGAACAAAAATAAATAAAAAGTCGAAGTTGTGGTGTATGACTTAGTTCTTTTAAAATACTAATTTGATTTGTTTTGATAAACTTGAAGTTGTTTTGTAAGCAAGTTTTACTTTTATGCAAAATATAAAGTTTTGTATATTTGAGTAGTATAAACAATTTTTTTAAATATTATTTGATGCGGTCGTAAACCGCATCAATTAGTTATTTTTGATTTTTTTTAATATATTATTTGTTGCGATCGTGAACCGCAACAATAAGTAAATTTTCGTTTTTTAAAAATTATCTATTTGCCGCGGTTCCGAACCGCAACAAATACCTTTCCCCACTATTTGCAGCGCTGCCAATTGTTGCGATTCAGAATCGCACCAAATAGCCTATAATGACCGCAACAAATAACATTTTTTCTAGTAGTATTTACATCATCATTCACCCCCAATCATTCCACATCATTTCACCAACTAATGTTTGTTTTATATAAACTTTGAACTGGAAAATTAGTGTTGCTTTCCTTGTCCAAAAAAAAATCTATGTTGCCCCAAAATACTACTCGGAAACCCCATGATCTTTTTTCTCTTTGGATAAAAGAGGGATATGATAGTATAGAATTGTTATGGTTTATGTGTGTAATTTTAACTAGTTTTATTTGTTGTTGTTTGGGAAATTACACACTTTGGGTGTAATACTTTATTTTTCCTATTTTGTTTGTAATTTGTTTAGATTAGGATTATTCTGAGCTTTAACTAGGTAAAGATCATCAAAAGGATCCTTGGAAAGCTCAAAGAAAGTGAAAGGGAACAAGATCAAGTGAAAATTTGGAAAAATAGTCATTTACCTGGTCGGGTAAATGACTTGATCCGAAAATAAAATCTGATTTGGGGGCAATTGAACGTGCAGGTGAAGATTTGGCAAAGATATGCCTTTTACCCGGTCGGGTAAATGGCCCTGGCAGCTCCAAACACCTATAAATACACCTCATTTCCATCCCATTTATTCACCAATTCACATACTCTCTTAAACTCAGTTTAGAATAGCATTTCTTTATATTTTCTAGCATGTTTAGTCTCCAAATGAGGAGCTAAACTTCCATCACTTGGTGTTGCTCTTGAAGCTTGTTGATTATTAAAGTTGTGAGTTATTTTCTTAACTTCTTTCCTTGAATATTAATTCTTTCTTTAAATACTATTTCTATATCAATGTTGGGGAGTGTTACTAAGATGCCAATTAGTTAACATCTTGACATTAGTTATAGTAATAGTTATTTCTTCCTCTATGTTAATATTGGGGAGTGTTACTAAGATGACAATTAGTTAACATCTTGATATTAATTATAGTAGAATTCATCTTCTTTAATATTCTTCCTTGAGTATTAATTAATTTCTATTCATATTTCATATTAATATTTTGAACATTACTTAAAGGATCAACTAGTTTTGTTTCATATATTAATTATTACTAGAGACGATCAACGAGCCGCTGGTTAATCATTGATGGTTTCACAAGTAAGTAACTTCGGTTTATTAATGCACGGTCGTGGTTAATAAACTTAAGAGAGATTAATTTTGTTGGTTAAACCGAAACCGTTGTGTTGAGGTTATCAATCTCAATTGATTTCATCAAGGAGTTAAGAGATTAAATGCTACTATCAAGTCGGTATATGGCGGTGTTCTATACTTGACTAATAGTAAGGGTTATTAATGAACGGTCGTTGTTAATAACTACCCTCGATGAATTGGATATACTCCTCGATTGAGTATTCGAGAGGGGATAAGTTATAGATATAACAATGATCGACTAAAATATATCAACAAGTGGAAAGTAGCAATGCCAAGTCCTTTTTATTCTTGAATTAATTCTCATATAAGTCGTTCATCTTAGTATTTAATTAATTAAATTCCAACAATACCAAAAAACCCCTTTCATTCACTAGTTCATAAAAAGAAAATTATTCTTTTCCCTGTGGATACGAACTCTACTTCACTATACTACGTACTAGTGCTAGTATTGAATTTATTTTGACGCACCGTGACAAAGTGACCGTCAGGATACCACCCTATCTAGATTCCACGCCTCAAGTCATCTTCAGAATGAAGAACTTCTACATTCATGTCTCAAATGCCTACCGGTTTTGGTGAGAGCACTTTACCAAATCCTAGAAGCAACACCAAGGCATCCTCCCAAACCTGCGCATCCGTACCACAATCGACCCTAATCTAGTCCCTTTTAGTACAACATTATGTGCTTCTAAAACTCCGTGTATTTGACAAACTACTTCCTAATATGGCTTCCTCAAAACCCGAGCTAAGAAAATACATAACAATAAAAATCCCATTCTATTACAAAGCACCATGCTTGTTTAGCCAACATGGCTAAATTAAAATATCATGTGACCCAAAAGCCCATGCCTTCAACTTCAACATATCCCTCTTCATGACTCTATCTTATACCATTTTTCCCGAGATTTGGTCCTTCCAACAAAAACCATTCATAATGCATTTAATCTCCTCAGATGACATGTTAGGCAATAAAATACATTCACAACATATGTCGGCATCACTATATTACTTGGCTCCCAAATTTAACTTTCATAAAGTAGTAAAATAAACTACCCTCTCCTTTTTCCAACACTCTCTAACCAAACAAGTTGGAGGAAGAAAAATATATATAGCAGTAATCATTTTCTAAATTACCATTGCTACATATCAGTATTGAACTTTTTTTTATAGAAATAACACTAAATAGAAGTAGAATATACTACTTACGTTTCACTCTGATCTCCCTGTCTCCATTTTCAGGTTTTAATAAGTCGTAACATTTCATATTTGGTCACATTTGCACGGTTTTTATTAATTTAGTCCTGCTTTTCCATCTGGTCTGGATTCGAACCACATAATCCACTTGTATTAAATGCGCTACCACTTCATTCATGTTCAATCTTAGTAGGGCACGTTTTATCGAAACCAAACTGCACTTGTTAGTTGGTAGTATTGGGATAACATTACGATCTTGTTATTATTATATGATTTAATGGTGGAATATTTTACTTTTATTTAGGGCTAATCATAAATTCATAATACAATAATGACATAACCTTCCTACTTCTGAGTGTAATTCCTCTTCTTCGTTATACTCTTCGCCATATGGCAACTCGATCTGATGTCCTCTATAGCATGAGTATGAGTGCCTTGTCTCTATGGTATAGAAGGGTATTATTGAAGTCTTCAAAGAGATTGCTTTCCACTATGTCGCGCGCACTTGATATGAGTTCTAATGTATGTCTTACACTACAACGGGAAAGAATATTTGCTTAACTCAGTTGTAGCCCGAGTATATCTACCTATTGAGATATATTCTATAAATATATTTACTCTTCTTTTCTTGTAGATGGACCGTAGCTTTGTATATTTAGCAAGTGTATATTACTAGTTAATGCTTGGCTATTTTATTGGAGACAAATTAGGAACCACTGGTTGTATATAACGGGGCACTTTGCCTTTGTAATACATAGAACACTTTTCAATCTCAATATCAATATACTTCGTATTTCTCCTATATGGTATCAGAGCCGCCATAGCCGATCCCTACGCTATCCGGCGATTATCATGACTGGTGGAACAGTTTCTTCCCAAAGTCAGATTTATTCTCTTAGTCCGAGTGATCACCCGGGTTTGATTATAACCCATGTTGTCTTGAAGGGTTATAATTATGAAGAATGGGCAAGGGGTTTCCGGGTTTCTCTTCGCGCTAAACGCAAGCATGTATTCATCGATGGAAGTCTCAAACAACCGGATGACAGTGCCCCTGAAATCGAAGACTGGTGGACTGTGAATTCCATGATCGTAGCGTGGATGTTCAACACCATTGATGCTTCGCTTAGAACATCCATCTCTTATCGCGATATTGCCCGCGATTTGTGGAACGAAATAAAAGAAAGATTTTCAGTCGGTAACGGAGTAAAGATTTATCAGATTAAATCTGATTTATCAGACTGTAAACAGAAGACGGGAGAAACTATTATGAGCTATTATGGGCGTCTGAAGAAATTGTGGGATGATTTGAACGATTTTGACACTCTTCCGACCTGTAATTGCACCGGCTGCAAGTGTGATTTGACGACAAAACTCCGGCAGAGGCGTGAAGCAGATCAAGTAAGAGAGTTCCTAATGGGACTCGAGCCCTTTTATGCAAATGTGAGATCAAGTCTCCTGGGAATTGATCCTTTGCCGTCACTCAATATGGTGTACTCACGACTTGTTCAAGAAGAAGAAGTCAGAACAATTACAGGGACCTAAGGAGAAGATACCACACCCATGAGCTTCGTTGTTCGAAGCAATACTCCTGGCAGTCATGGTTCAGGGGGGGTACCCGATTTGTTAACAATAACAATGCTATTATTTGTACTTTTTGTTCTAAAACAGGACACACTGAAGAAAAGTGCTTCATCAAGCATGGATATCCCGATGGATGGCTAGAACGGCGACGTAACGGAGGTAAAGCTCGGGGACAGTCTAGACAATCCGGAAGCAATGCAGGTTCAGTCAACCTTCAGAACAACTCCTCTAATCAGCAACCGAAGGCCAATGTTGCACATGCGGGAGAAATTGCCGCTGATCTCGGTGATATCCGTTTGCATGGTAAGGCAGAAACATTATGGATTATAGACACCGGTGCCTCACACCATGTTTGTGGTAGTGCTCGGTTGTTTGATTCTCTCGTGGATATCATACCCACGGAAATTGGGCTGCCCGACGGGTCTTTTATCAAGGCTACTAAGATCGGTAGCATTAAGTTGAATGAACATCTTTCAATAAATAATGTCTTATTTGTTCCGGAATTTACGTGCAACCTTTTATCCGTTTCTACTTTGCTCAAGGATAAGAGATTAAGTATTCAATTCACTCACTCTCATTGTGTTATACAGGACCAAGTCTCGAGGATCAGGATTGGTGTGGGTGAGCAGTCCGGTGGACTTTTCTACCTGGCAATGGGGGAACGAGTACGTATACATAATGCAACCCATTTGGATGTTGGAGAGCTTTGGCATGCACGTTTGGGACATCCGTCATTGCAAGTTTTGAATTTTTTGCCTCAAGTTAACGGTAGCTCTAGCAATTTATTTAATAAGCCATGTGATGTTTGTCATCGGGCAAAGCAAACTCGTTCCGTTTTTTCGTTAAGTAATAATAGAGCATCTCATTTATTTGATTTAATTCACTGTGATGTTTGGGGACCGTATAGTGCCAATCGTTCGTGCAAGTCACGCTATTTTCTTACTATAGTTGATGATCACTCACGAGGTGTTTGGGTATATTTGATGAAACACAAAAGCGAGGTATCCTCATTACTAATGAATTATTTTGCTTTAATAAAACGGCAATTTGGGTTGCTTGTCAAAACTGTACGCAGTGATAACGGAACTGAGTTCATGGTTTTACGGAAATATTTTTCTGAACAAGGCATTATTCACCAAACTTCCATGGTAAGGACACCTCAACAAAATGCACGCGTGGAACGAAAACATCGTCACATTCTTAATGTGGCCCGTGCTCTACGTTTCCATGCTGCTTTACCGGTTGATTTTTGGGGTGAATGTATTCTCAGTGCCGCTTATTTAATAAACTGGACTCCTACTCGCATTTTACAAGGAAAGACTCCTTTTGAACTTTTATTCGGCACTTTGCCTGATATGAATACTATTCGTATTTTTGGATGTCTTTGTTATGCTAAGGAGATGAACCCTACTGATAAGTTTGACAGTAGAAGTCGTAAATGTATTTTTGTTGGATATCCTTTCGGCAAGAAAGGTTGGAATGTGTTTGATTTGGACAGTGGTAAATATTTCTCTTCCCGAGATGTGGTTTTCTATGAAAATATATTTCCTTACGCAAATAGCAGGGCGTTTTTAATGGATGGGCAGCAGGTCTCGCATGGGAATTTTAACGTTGAAAACATTGACAATATCAATACGGACCATTACTCTTTTTTGCATGAGTCTCATGCAGCCTCGTCAAATTCTCTTGGGTCTGAAGATGGTCCAGCTCAACAGGAATTTTCTCATACGATGGGCAGTGAGAACAATCATGGGTCCGAGGAATCTGATGCTGTTCCAGATGCTTCTAACGTTTCAGGCAATAATGAGGAAATCACGACTAGTATAGTGCCTCTGGGAAGAGGGCACCGGCAGAAATTCTCGAACACTCGTCATCGTGATTTCGTCACGTATACTACTCGAGTTGCCCCCACCACTGCTGCACCCCCACCTCTCGTGATCTCAGGTACGCGGTATCCTATTTCACAATATGTGAATTGTAATATTTTTTCTGACAAGCATCGTAAGTTCCTTGCAGCTATTACCACAAATGTTGAACCCTCCTCTTATAAGGAGGCCTTGTCTGATCCACGGTGGTGTCAAGCTATGCGGGATGAGATTCGCGCTTTGGAGGATAATCAAACCTGGACTATCGAGGATTTACCTCCCGGTAAAACCGCTATTGGTTGTATGTGGGTATTTCGTATAAAGTACAGGTCCGATGGTGCCGTTGAACGTTATAAGGCTCGCCTGGTGGTCTTTGGAAATCACCAAATACCAGGTATTGACTTTGTTGAAACGTTTGCTCCAACTGTTAAGATGGTCACAGTTCGTACATTTCTTGCTGTTGCTGCTATTAAAAATTGGGAGTTACATCAAATGGATGTACATAATGCTTTTCTTCATGGTGATCTCGCTGAAGAAGTATATATGAAACTTCCTCCTGGTTTTGGAAATAGCTCTCCGGGTAAAGTCTGTCGCCTTCGTAAGTCACTATATGGACTTCGTCAGGCACCTCGATGCTGGTATGCTAAACTCGCTAATGCCTTACGCTCTTATGGGTTTCAAAACAGTTCTTCGGACCATTCTTTGTTCGTTTATCAAAAAGGATCTGTCTCTCTCAGCATTCTTGTCTATGTTGACGATCTAGTTATCGCTGGAAATGACAGTCATTCTATCACTCAGTTCAAGGCTTATTTGCATAAGTGTTTTCATATGAAAGACTTGGGTAAACTCAAATATTTTCTCGGCATTGAAGTTGCTCGTAACTCCCATGGTATTTTTCTTTGTCAGCGTAAATACGCTCTAGACATTCTGACTGAGACAGGACTTCTTGCTGCTAAACCCGCCAGTACACCTATGGAAGAAAATCACTCTTTGGCCCTTGCTTCCGATGATTTGCTGGCTGATCCTCTCAAATATAGACGCTTGGTTGGTCGGTTAATTTATCTTACTATTACTCGACCTGAGCTTTGCTATTCTGTTCATATTCTCTCTCAGTTCATGCAAAAACCTACTCGGTCTCAGTGGGAGGCTGCACTTCGTGTGGTTCGTTACTTGAAGAACAGTCCTGGTCAGGGTATTTTGTTACGAGATGATTCTAGTCTATCCTTGCATGTTTATTGTGATGCAGATTGGGGTAGTTGTCCCTTGAGTAGAAGGTCTCTAACCGCTTACTTTGTGTCCCTTGGTGACTCACCCATCTCATGGAAAACCAAGAAGCAAGCCACTGTGTCCCGTTCATCAGCTGAAGCTGAATACCGTGCCATGGCTTCCGCTACATGTGAAATTATCTGGCTAAAAGGGCTTTTACACAGTTTGGGAGTTTTACATTCGTCTCCTGTCTCCTTACATTGTGATAGTCAGGCGGCACTTCACATTGCTAATAATCCAGTGTTCCATGAACGCACGAAACATATTGAAATAGACTGTCATTTTATCCGAGATGAAATTCTTCGGCACACGATTGCTCCTGTTTTTGTTCCTACTTCTTTGCAGATAGCCGATATATTGACAAAAGCTCTTGGCCCCCGTTCTTTTCGTTTTTTACTTGCCAAGTTGGGCATTCATGACCTTCACGCTCCAACTTGAGGGGGGGTATTGAGATATATTCTATAAATATATTTACTCTTCTTTTCTTGTAGATGGACCGTAGCTTTGTATATTTAGCAAGTGTATATTACTAGTTAATGCTTGGCTATTTTATTGGAGACAAATTAGGAACCACTGGTTGTATATAACGGGGCACTTTGCCTTTGTAATACATAGAACACTTTTCAATCTCAATATCAATATACTTCGTATTTCTCCTATACTACCTTCTTTAACTCTCTTAAGTCTTAATGCAGCTTGCAAGTGAACCTCATTTGACGATTTTGCGCACTCAAAAACAACGTCCGGCCATAAGCACCATACCCCTATATTGTTTCCTCCAATTTGCATGAATATGATGTTAATAATTTTTTACTCGGCTCCTGCGAGTTTGCATGAATAGGGCGTGCACACCTTTAGGTTTTGCGCCTGAAGGTGTGATAGGCTCGATGGTCTAATTTTTTTAAGGAAAGCTACTTAAATATTATTAATAAAACCAAAGTCCAATGAAGTTTTAATACGAGGAAAATTATAGGCCCAAACACAACGATCAGACAAAGAAACAATAGCCCTAGCTACATCATGAGCTATCTGATTCGTAGACCGCTACACATGAGAGAAAGTAATACTAGTGAAACATTCTTTTCCTTTTATTATTCTTTGACTTCTTTATGATTGAACACTTCAGTTTCATGTGATTAGATAATTAGAATTATGTCTAGTTTATAAAGTTGGGTAATATGAGGATTATTGACAGTCGTTATGATTTTTACATATTACAACAAGTAACTCATAAAAGTATTTTCCTCTAAAAAAAAACTTTGGGATAATTAATGGAAAAATGGTCGAATAAAGTCTTCTACAATTATGAAATTGTCATATAAGGTCAATAAAGTGTCATATAAATACGTCAATTTATTAAAAACAGTCAGAGAAATCCTAACGACCTATTGACACCTCTTAGCCCCCTTGCAAAAAACCCTCTTAATCCAGGTTTTAGCGTACGTCTAACTATGTTTTTAAAATAGATTATAAGGTAGACGTGGAATATTCAGCTAGAACGGTCTTAAATATAAGTTAAAAATAGTGACACATAAACTACAATCGGGATTAAGAGGTTCTCAACGGGTCGTCAGGGCACATCCGATTACTTTTTATAAGTAGACGCATTTATATGATACTTTATTGAGTACATGATCTTACGTGACTATTCAGTAATAGTAGTTGATCTTATTTGACTCTTATTCATAATAAAAAGACTATTATGTTATTTTAGGATATGATTAGTATATTTTCACATGCTTTCAATTTTGTTTTGGAAGAATATAAGCTTTCAAAATTTTAAATACTACGTAGTATGATACGATTAAAAAAAATACTACGTAGTATAAAGTTCAAACCCCACGTTTGTTTAAAAAACATTTTGACTGTAATAACTAAAAACGCACTTTTTATATAAAAAAAAAGTGAAATTTCTTTCACCTTTATTCTTTTTGAGAGAATTTATTTTCACCTTTATCTTATCAACTTTTAGAAAGAAATCTCCTCCTAGCTACTTTCATTTTACTGTAAAAAGCTACTTCTCAAATAAAAAAATGCTTTGTATGACGAGTCAGGTTGCTTTGTTGGGTGACTGACACTAAGTTTATTCTCAAGGCTTGCGATCGTATCTGCAATAACTGTCTAAATATTGTCTTGCATATTTGCCCTATTTTAATGAAAGCCGTTTTGATGATTAAAAATATGCGACTAATGGAGCTCGTGAATAGAGACACATAATTGTGGTTGTGAACATTTTTTAATAGGGTCTAGAGTCCATATTTTTACAAAGTGGGCATCTGTTTTCAGTCCGTTAACACTCATGGGGTCTCCATCACTTTTTATATATTCTCGTCGCTTTCTTTTATTCACTGTTTTGATTGTACGAAATATAACAAAATAAAAATTGTGTAATTGAAGTGTGTATAAAGAAAAGAAAAGTAATTATAACTATAAATTAATGGATTAACTAAAATTATAAAGAGAAAAGGGGCAAATAAGGCCACGTACTAACCAAAAAGGGTCAAATAAGGCCTTATTTAAGAGGCACTGTCCGGCCATCGCCATTTGGGGTGGTTCCCGGTAGAATTTTTTGATGAATTTTTTTTAGCATCTTACTCAGTAAGTCTAGTTTACTCATACCAAATTTCAGTTAAAACTTCAATCGGGAAGACATTCAAATGAATTCTTGAAGATAATTGTGCAGTTAAAAGCGCATATATCTTCAAGAAATCATTTGAATGCCTTCCCGATTGAATTGTTAGCTGAAATTTGGTATGAGTAAACTAGACTTAAAGAATAAGATGGTAAAAAACTTTCATCAAAAAATTTCACCGAGAACCACCCCAAATGACGAAGGCCGGACAGAGCCTCATAAATAAGGCCTTATTTAACCTTTTTTGGTTAGTACGTGGCCTTATTTGCCCATTTTCCCAATTATAAATGAGGGATGGATTTCTGTTTAATTTACCAACTGCTCCTTATATCCCCTAAAACCGTCTCATATTTTATTTTTGATTCATCATACTAGATTGTCCCATATCAAATTTGATAAAATGTATATAATTATAAATTATCATTACTTTATTCTGATTTATCGATTTAATATCAACCACGTAAACTCAATTTTTCATTAGTCTGGGGTAGCCGGGTAGGTAGTACCGTAGTATAGTTTAAGTTGCTCTTTTCCACATCAATACATCATACTACCTCCGTAACATTGGGATGTTCCCATTTGAAAAGTAGGTAGATTAAGAATAGTGAAAGGAGATATGTATTATTAGGGGTATGATGGGAAGATAGTGAAATAATGTGATGGAATGAAGGATAAATTCAAAAAAAATAGGTGTAATAGTTATTATTTTTAAAATTATTGAGGATATGATGGGAAGATTTAGAAATGGGAAGATATTAGTGTTACGTCCAAAAAAGGAAAGTGGAAAGATATTTATGTTATGGAGGTAGTAATCAAAACTAACGACTACTTGCCCCATTTGTTTGAATATGTGATCGTATAGTTCACACGTTAACACGTTGCTGTCTCACACTGTCTCTCACTACATTTTCGGCCGGTTTGAACCGCTCCACCGGTCCATTTGCCAGAATCCCAACAGCTTTCCATGACAGCCTTCTTTCGGATAAAAGAAGGCTCCATTTCCTTCTCCCTCCCGTTATAGGGTTGTACTCTTTCCTTTTCTCCGCTGTTTCCAAGGTGTTGTACGTTGCCGATCTCTATTCTGTTTAACCCCATCCCTTCCTTTCCTCCCTCACTTCACTTTCACACCTTTCACTTCGTACACTCACAAACCCTAGCACAGAGTAGTAGAATCTCGACACCCCAGAAACCCCGCAGAGGTTTATCAGCTAAAGGGTACTCAGATTCTCCGTTTTCTTGGATTTCCGTCATGGGTAACTGTATGGACACTTCGATGAAATCGACGGCGGAGATTGCGCCGGCGGACGCGATCAAGGCCCAGCCGATGGTCAAACTGTACGGGACGCCGTTCAGCGTCGACACCTACTGCGTCCGCTTCGCGCTCCTCTACAAGCCCGTTGCTCTCAAGTTCGTGCCGTCCGACCAGCACGAGACGCCGGTGCTCGAGTACAAGTCCGACACCGTCTCCGGATCGATTGAAGTCCTGGTCCAGTTCTTGGATGCGAAGTTCCCGGAGCCGCAGCTGCTGAAGGGGAGCGTGGGCGGGTGGCACGGCGAGACGACGCCGTTGGTGGTGTGGGTTGCGACTCTGCAACACCGGAGCATGATGTGGCACCTGGATCGGATGGTGAGGTGGGCGGAGGATCTGTCCGATCGTGGGGGGAGGACGACGGGTGATCCGGCCATGGGGAGCCCTCGGATGGAGATTAGGAAGTTCGCCAAGAGATATTCTCAGCTGCTGGAACTGTTCTTGGAGCATGCTCAGATGGAGGAGAGGGTTCTCTTCCCAATCTTGGAAAAAGCTGATCGAGGTATAATTATCATTTGCAGTAATTACTTTTTATGTGATTGCCAGATTCATTTTCATGGTTTTGTGTTCACTTTATTTGGGAAAGTAAGTAAATCCATCCAGCCCATTCTGTTCTTATGATAGACATTCTATTAATGTGCATTATGTAAATTTGATGAAGACTTGGTTGCTTATTCTTTTTAGGAAAACAGATTTACCTGCACTCAATAGTGTTGATGGTATATACTATATAGGGTGGTGGTTATAATTGTTCAGGAGATTTAGGCCCCCATTGATAGCATTAATCGGTTAGCTAAAGAATCAGATTAAGTGTAGTTTGACTTAATTGTTCTGTGTGGGGCTGAACTGATTTAGTAAGGAGATTAAAAAAAACTTAAAACTAGAGACATAATATACAACTAACATTATACATACCGTTACAAAGGTAAGAGGGGAAGAGGAACCTAGGAATTACATATTCTTTCTCTATACGACTGTTAGGGGTTCACAATGTTCCTGTTCGCAGCCAGACTAGCAAGAACAGGGAACCGAACTTGGAGGGAAAAGGTCTGGATCCAGTTCCGGAATTTGGATACAGGATATGGCAATTCCTTTTTCTTTTGGATTTTTAGCATAAAAACTTTAAAATAAATTCTTGTTCAGTTGGGATGGATATCTGTTGCCATTGCCGATACCAAGAGGGCATGTTTTATACTCTTCAGTTTTATTGAATGGTAATAATTGATTTCTGAGGTGTATGGACAGATTATGGGTGATAGTGATGCTTTCTTATACTAGTAAGTAGTACCTATTGATCATTTTATATCTGTCATCCATAGGATTGTGCAAAGGTGCAAACGAGGAGCATGCAAGAGATCTGCCTGTAATGAATGGAATCAAAGAAGACATTAAATCCATTGGAGTTCTTGATTCAGGGAACCCTGTCTTCCAAGAAGGCCTCTCCAATCTTTCAACTCGCCTTAAAACCTTACAGGTATGTTGTAACTGGTTTTACAATTTCTTTGAACTTTAAGGGATTGTTTGGATCCCAGAAAATGCTAGAGAAATGATAACAGGAGGGAAGTGTAGATTAAACTGGACAGAAAGAAAATGAGAAAAATGTTCAGTAAATCAATTTTGTATATTTGTTTGAACTCACTTTTATTTTTAGTACTTCTAGTATATAAAGTCTGAGAAATTAATTTTGCTAGCAGAATTTTTCCTTTCCCAAATTTCCTTGGCATGTTCTATGATCAAATTTGTCATAAAATAACTATCATGCTTCGATTTATTTATTACAAAACCAGGAACATTCAAAAGAGCACTTTGATGAGGAAGAGAAGGAGTTGCTGCCGCTATTGGAGGCAGCGGAGTTGAGCAAACTGCAGCAAGTGAGTGCATTGGAACAGTGTGTGGAAGCAATGCATGGGACGCACTCCCACCTGTTCCGGTTTTTCATGGAAGGACTCCTTCCCCAGGAGGCAATGCAGTACATGGACATCATTTCTAAGTGCAGTGACAAGGACCGGGTGTGCAAGCTGTTCCGGTTAGTTGTTGAGAAAGAGAATAGCTTTGGCAGCGCTATGGGCGATCCCCACTAACAAACACGGTGATGGCGATTGGTTTTTGCTTAGCCCGCTGGTGAAGGCCAAAGTCTTCACACAGTTCAGTTCGTCTTTTATAGTGACTTGACAGTTGGTTAGTTTCCTTTTAGAGTGGATGCGAGAAGCACAAGAGTTGAATGAGCAAAAAGTGGTTGCAGATTTATTTGTAGATGGGGTTCGTTGGTTACTTTCCTTTACATGTTCTTGCCTGCTTAATATGTAAATGATGACGACGAACTGCTTTATCTTTTTCCTTGTACGTAAATAACAAGTTCTAATTTGGGCTCTTCTCATACAAATGATGAGGATGGACCAACCTCTAAAATGGGACTGGATACGATAAACTATGCATTAAAAACAGTGTCCCTCCAAAATACTTCGTACGTAGTAGTTCGTATGTGAATAAATTAGTACATACAAAAAAGATGTTGCAAGATAGGTGGAACATGGGAGAGCTGGAGAGGAATGACTAAATACTATCGTTGACAATTAAAAACATCTTTACTGCTTCTGTTTAGACACTTGCTCAAAACTTAAAACTAAAGACATTATAATCACGATTGTTGTTACATTTGTAATAAAGAAATTGTACTCCGCAATAAAGAACTTTTTTTGAAAGGAAATTGTCGCTTCCGAAATGTTACATCATTAGAGAAAAATCATATTAGACATCAACAAACCTACACCAACTACAAATGTAAACCTTACGATAAGACATATAGAAATAGTCATCATGAAAGAACAATACAAATCGCTAACCACAAAACGAGTTTGACACAACTATCACTGGTCATATAGATCTGTATACTTCTAACGACATAAAAATAAGTTAAATTTTCAATCATCGTGACATACGACATACCTAACCAGACTTTAGCAACATAGATTTTAACAACATGATAAATTTATCGAACCCGAGTACCTCGTTCAACCCATGTCGGTGGTTCAAGAGGTGACCAGATTATCAGTATCGATGTGATTGACGTTTCATCAATGGCTGAACTCTAACCTTCGCCAAATTCATCGCTCACCATCCCTCGCTGCCCCTCGTACGTGCTTAAGTTGTTGTTCGCCGTCTTCCTGGTCACGACACCATGACTTCATGCGGCTGAAGCAAGACCTCTGGTCATGGTCTGCAATATACTCACTTTCTCACCTTCCATCCTATGTCTTTCCACTGAAGCTAAGAGAAAACAATCCCTAAAAACTCTAAATTGACGACGAAGAAAAAGCTTCGCAGCACCAACCCTAATCTGTAGTCGAGCTTTGCAATGCCGCTTGTTTTCTATGAGGTCTCATGTATTTACTCTGCAATAAAGAGCTTCAACCTTTAAAAGATAATTAAATTATTGAATAAACGATGAGTAAATAAATCAGTACTACTCCATACTTCCTAGCTGGGTTATCTACTCGGCGAGTACTCGGCGATAGGGGTGGACCGGTTCCGGGCCGGGCCCGGTTCGTGCCTTGAACCGGCTGGGCCTCGGTTCAAGGTAGGGAAGGCCCGGAACCGGCCCGGGTAACCCCGGGTCTGGTCCGGTTCGGGCCGGGACGGGCCAGGCCGGGTCCGGTTCGGGCCGGGCCGGGCCAGGCCGGGCCCGGTTCGGTTCTATATAATTTTTTGGGGGGTTTTCCTAATCAACCCCCTACCCTCCCCCTCAACCCCAAACCACCCCAAACCACCTCAAATGGCCCAAATTACCCAATCCAACCCAAAAACTTAAAAAACTGAAGAAAAAAAATTAAATCCGGCACGGTTCATCAAAATGATGGCCCGGAACCGGTAGCCACCGGGCCGGGTCGACCCGAACCGCCCATGGGCCGGGCCGCCAGGCCGGGCCGGTTCAAACAGTGATCGGGCCAGTTCAGGCCGCCCGGCCCGAGTCCAACCCTACTCGGCGAGTACTCGCTACTCGGTCTCTTACCTTGCAGAGTAGCACCTTAACTCGGCCCGAGTTAATTTTCCGAGTTATAATTTGTACGTAAATAACAAGTTCTAATTTGGACTCTTCTCATACAAATGATGAGGATGGACCAACCTCTAAAATGGGACTGGATACGAATATACGATAGAGTGATAAACTATGCATTAAAAACAGTGTCCCTCCAAAATACGTAGTACTACGTAGTTCGTATGTGAATAAATTAGTACTCGTATGACATACAAAAAAGATGTTGCAAGATAAGGTGGAACATGGGAGAGCTGGAGAGGAATTACAAAATACTATCGTTGACAATTAAAAAAATCTTTACTACTTGTGTTTAGACACTTGCTCAAAACTTAAAACTAAAGACATTATAATCACGATTGTTGTTACATTTGTAATAAAGAAATTGTACTCCGCAATAAAGAACTTTTTTTGAAAGGAAATTGTCGATATTTATATTATTAGCTTCCCAATCGTTACTTCATTAGAGAAAAATCATATTCGACATCAACAAACCTACACCAACTACAAATGTTAACCTTACGAATGGACATAGAAACGGTCATCAAGAAAGAACAATATGAATCGCTAACCACAAAACGAGTTTGACACAACTAACACTGGTCTTATAGATCCGTATACTTCTAACGACATAAAAATAAGCTAAATTTCCAATCATCCCGACATACGACATACCTAACCAGACTTTAGAAACATAGATTTTAACAAAAATCCAAACAATAAAATAACAATAACTAATACTGTATGATAAATTTATCGAACCCGAGTACCTCGTTCAACCCATGTTGGTGGTTCAAGAGGTGACCAGATTATCAGTACCGCTGTGATTGACGTTTCATCGCTGGCTGAACTCTAATCTTCGCCAAATTCGTCGCTCCCCATCCCTTGCTGCCCCTCGTACGTGCTTAAGTTGTTGTTCGTCATCTTACTGGTCATGACACCATGACTTCATGCGACTGAAGCAAGACCTCTAGTCATGGTCTGCACTATACTCACTTTCTCACCTTCCATCCTATGTCTTCCCATTGAACCTGAGAGAAAAAGAACTCTAAATTGCCGACGAAGAAAAAGGTTTGCAGTCGAGCTTTGCAGTGCCGCTTGTTTTCTAATTTACTCTGCAATAAAGAGCTTCAATCTTTAAAAGAAAATTAAATTATTGAATAAACGATGAGTAAATAAATTAGTACCACTCCTTACTTCCTAGTTCCAACTTGGTTTGGGACAAAAGAAAGTAAAACCCAAGGAAGGTTTAAAAAGACTAGTTGAAACATGAAAATAATGAGAAAACTAGAAATGATATATTTTACCTCAAAAAACAACTATTTAGAGAGTTTTCAATAACTTTCCGCCGAGTTTCAAAACGAAGATGCACGTTCTTTCGACAGGGTTTCCATACTTCATAGGTTAATACTATATTAAATATTCATATAATTAAAAATAAATACGATTCCCACAAGCATTTTGAGACTGATCACAATAGAAAAGTGAGAAATACTATGACAGAGTGGTATTACATTTTGTGTTTATTACACTTAAGCTACAACACTCTTTCTAGATGTCAATTCTAGGATGGGGGAGATTTTGGAGTCGGTGAAAGTGGCGGAGACCGCGGCGGAGGTGGTGGAGTGCGCAGCGGTGCTGGAGGCGGGCTCTTAAAATGATGAGGAATGTTGGTGCGTGGGGCTGACGGCGTCCGGCTGCCAGCCGGCAGTGTCCTGTCGGTTCGATACTTCACGAGAATATCGTCCATGGCCATTGGTGAGAAAGGATCGTCTCTTGCTGCCATGGCTAAATGAAGGAGAAGCATCATTTGATGAGTTAATAACAATATTAAGATTGCAGTTGGCAGGCGAAATGATTTGTTCAACATTTCTTCACCTTCCAACTTCCACACCATATTTGCTCCAACCAAAGACTCCAACTATTTATGTATGATTACCGGGACACCATTCCGCCTTTGTGGATTCCAAGGTGGAAATTACTGGTAGACTGCTGGAAAAATAAATGATGTGGGCCAAAACGTTATAAATGAAATTGACAAACTCTTTTTAAACAATTAAAGGAAAAAGGGACAAATAAGCACTCGAACTAACAAAAAAAAGTCAAATAAGCCCTTATATAGGAGGCTCTGTCCGGCCATCGCCATTTGGAGTGGTTCCTGGTGGATTTTTTTGATGAACTTTTTTGAGCATCTTATTCATTAAGTCTAGTTTACTCATACAAAATTTCAGCTAACAATTCAATCAGAAAGTCATTCAAATGAATTCTTGAAGATAATTGTGCTTTTAACTGTGCAGTTATCTTCAAGAATTGATTTGAATGCCTTCCCGATTGAAGTTTTAGCTGAAATTTGGTATGAGTAAACTAGATATGATGAATAAGATGCTCAAAAAAGATCATCAAAAAGTTCCACTAGGAACCACCTCAAATGGCGACGGCCGAACAGAGCCTCCTATATAGGGGCTTATTTGACCATCTTTGGTTAGTATGTGGGCTTATTTGCCCCTTTTCTCAACAATTAAACAAGGAAGGAAAAAGTCAATTGAGTTCTCGCACTTTAAAATGTGTCAATTAAGTCCTTGAAGTGTTAAAAACCAACCAAATAAGCTATTTTGCACGTGACTGGTCTGTAACCCGGTTACTCGCTTTCGCTTACCGGCGATTCCATGCACGGTCACTTCACTTCCCGTCTACATCTTTCGATCTGCTTAGTCACCTTCCAAACCAGGGAGTCGCCGACATGGAATCGCCGATCTAGTCATGGAATCGCCGCCGCCATAGACATGGAGTCGCCGCCGCCCTAGCCATGGATTCTCCGTCTCCCTAGCCATGGAATCTCTGTCGGCTCCTAAGACATGGCAACACCTCTGCCTCCCAAGCAATGGCCCCACCGCCCCGTATCCGCTAAGGCCATAAGCATCCCCGCCGATCCTCTTTACCGCAGGTTCCACAGATCTTGCCGCTTTCATCGTTTTCTTCTCCACTTCTTCTACCCGACAGTTCCCCGTCCTTCTCCTCAGATCGATGGCAAGTCTCATTTTCTAATGTTAAAATTGAATGGTGGGGGAAGCAGTTCGCGAGCTGATGGGTTTCTAATGTTAAAATTGAAGGGTGGGGGAAGCAGTTCGTGAGCTGATGGGGGCAACGATGGTGGAAAGGGTTGGGGACGGCAGGTGTCCAGGGAAGAAGGTTAGGGTGGGGAAAGTTGGGGTAGTGGTGGCAATCAGAGGGGGTGTGGCAGCCGATTATACAGGGTCAGATTAGGGTGGGGATAGTTGGGGCGGTGGTAGCAATCGGAGGGGGTGTGGCAACCGGTTGTACAGGGTGAGGGGAGGGGGCTGGATCGAGGCTGAAGTGGTGGCGGGGCAGGGGGCTGCCCCCTGGGTGGAGGACTGGTCCCTGACGGAGGCATGGACTTGTCACTGGTGGTAGCGGAGATGGGTCACTAGCGGCGGTTGCGGCGTCGTGGACCGCTCGCTAGTGTCGGCGCGAATAGGTCACAGGTGGGGCAAGGGGCCGGTCACTAGCGGGGATAGGTACTGGTCACTGGTGGCGGGGGTATGTACTGGTCACTAGCGGCGGAGTGGGACTGGTCACTGGTGGCAGGGAAATGGTCATTAGCGGCGGCATCTGGTTACTGGTCACTGACTCACGGGTGGATTAGGGGTGACGAACTTTGTAACTATGTCACTGGTCATTGTGACATTGGTCACTGTAGTGGGATGAATTTTGTAACTATGTCATTGGATAAATTTTGTAACTATGTCATTGGTAATTGTAACATTGGTCACTACACATTTGGTCACTGTGACGGGTTACTATAGCAGGCCAGTGAGTTTGGGCTTAGTAAGTGTGTAGCAGTCTCTTAAGAATTATTTAGTCTTATTTTTGGAACTTAAAAGAACAGTCCTTTTTTTGAAAAGTCCTTTTTTTTGTCCAAATGCTTTTAATTAGGATTATTTGAGGACAAACCCTAAAAATATGAATGACTAAAATGTGCATTTGCATTGTTAGTTAAGGTTCACACAAATTTGATGGGAAAGACTTGTAATAAATAGTACTCAGTAATTCCTAATTATAATTATTAATTTGATTCGTCTAGACTTAAAAATAATATCCGCCTAAGTGATATGATTATTAGTGATAGAAATAAATAAAAAAAAATATATAATTTTTTTATCAAAAAAACAATTCATAAAATTTGAAAAAGCAAATAATTTAATTATCGTAATTCAATATGTAAAAACAATTCACCTACTTATACCACAAAGCCCGCAAAAAATTATCAGAAAGAACAAGCTAGAACACGTACAAAGCATGACACATTGAGATACGTGTTAAAATAATGGAATTGATAACTACGTAGTATATGTTTGGTAGTCCATTAAGTTTTATAATCAATATTTTATTAATAGTATGTAGAGCAAGTATGATTTTTAACAACAAATAAAAGTTGTTAAGAAACACAAGTTCAAAATGAAAAATATTTAATAGCCATGAATTATGATTACCCATGGTTGTCAATGGTGTGAAAGGATTAATTACGGGAGCAGAAACTATGCAATTCTTGACCCTGTAGTCGTGATTATTATAGCTGAAAGATTTTGAAAAGTCAATAGTCAATTACAAGTGATGTCTGAAGACTGCTAGATTTGTAGAATTTGAACAAGCGAGTACTCTTCCGGTCAGGAATTCCTGACCGGAACCGCCGTCCGGACGGCGGCGTTTGGCCACCTTCCGGGTGGAATTTTTCAATGAAATTTTTATGACATGTTCTCCATCAAGTCTAGTTTATCCACAAAAATATTCAGCCAAAAACTCATTCGGGAAGGTCATCAAATGATTTTTGCAAGTTAACTGGTCCGGAAAATACATATTCCGGACCAGTTAACTTGCAAAAATCATTTGACGACCTTCCCGATTGAGTTTTTGGCTGAATTTTTTTGTGGATAAACTAGACTTGATGGAGAACATTCCATAAAAATTTCATCAAAAAATTTCATCGGGAAGGCGACCAAACACCGCCGTCCGGACGGCGGTTCCTGTCCGGAATTCCGGACATGAACTTTTGTCTTGAACAAGCCGCCTTTTAATGGGTATTACCTTAATGAGCTGTTGCGTATGAGATAATTCTATTCACGGCCCATAAATTACTATACACAGCCCCAAATTAACTACAATTTCCAAATTACCCTTATCATAATAATACAATTATATTTACTTTACCTCATACGGATAAAGGCTCCGTAGGATTTAGGCTATGAAGCACATAAATCCTCCCTAGTTCCACAAATGATGTTTAATTTTACTATCTTTCCTTGGACTGATCAACGAATCTAACTCGTTTCTTCAATCATGAACTTATTTATCTGTTTTTTTTTTGTTTTTAAAGAAATCTGATCAACGGATAAACATGGCAACCCTTCTTTAAGAAATCATCATTTGGATTTATGTCATCCTTGCTTAAAAAACAGGAGTGAAGAAATTGATGTCAGATTTGGTTTGCTCAAGTTCTGATGCCAGATCCCCAAGTTTCTCCTACAATTTTCTTATTTTCTAGAGCATCAAGGACATCTGTTTAGTAGGTTGGACAAAATCATGAGAAAGCAAAGTTTCACCCATCTGTTCGTTACTTCATATTTCTGGCCAGAAGACTCTGCGCGGAAGCCAGTCCGATGTGTAAAGGTTACAGCCACCTTTTTCCCTCTAAGTTACACGGAAAAAGGTGAGATAGGGCCTCGAACTTACATAAAAATGTCAAATAAGGCTTTATATATAGGAGGCTCTGTCCGGCCTTATATATAGAAGACTCTGTCCGGCCGATGTCATTTGGGGCGGTTTCCGGTGGAATTTTTTGTTGAAATTTTTTGATGATTTTATTCATTAAGTCTAATTTACTCATACCAAATTAGAATTATGATATAAAGTCCCACACCGGTAAATTGAGAAGCATTAGAGTGCTATATATTAAGTTTCGGGCTACTCCTCCTAACAGGTTGACCTTGTAGGATGAAACCTCGGGTCTTAACATCATATCAGAGCCAAATCGATCCATGATGTGGGGCCCCTTATGAAAAAATGACAATTCCTGCTGGATGAAAAAATGGACCGATGAAAAAAATGAATGATGACACGATCCAGGCGAAAATGTCTGGTCGTGAGGAGGGGTGTTAAATGTCCCATACCGGAAAAGTTTGGATAAACCAAATCTTATATTAACACACGGGCTACTCCTCCTATCAGGTTGACTTTTTAGGATAGAACCTCAGGTCTTAACATGGTATCAGAGCCAAATCGATCCATGGTGTGGGGCCCCTTTTGAAAAATGATGACACGATTATATAAAAAAATTGACAATGACAGACCGATGAAAAAATGAATGACGGCACGATCCAGACAAAGTGTCTGGTCGTGAGGAGGGGTGTTGAATTCCCACACCGAATACTTGTCAATGAATTGGATGTTATATTAAGATCTTGATTACTCCTCCTATCAGGTTGACCTTTTAGGATTGAACCCTGTGTCTTAACAAATTAAAACTTTAATCGGGAAGGCATTCAAATGAATTCGTGAAGATAACTGCGTAGTTAAAAGCGAAGTTATCTTCAAGAATTTATTTGAATGCCTTCCCGATTGAAGTTTTAGCTGAAATTTGATATGAGTAAACTAGACTTAATGAATAAGATGCTTAAAAAATTCATCAAAAAATTCCACTGGGAACCACCCCAAATGGCGACGGTCAGTCAGAGCTTCCTATATAAGGCCTTATTTGATCTTTTTATGTAAATTTAAGCCTAACTTGACCCTTTTCCCAAAGGTTATACGAAGCACTAAAAGGGTATAAAAGGAATTAAGGAAAAATTTAATTTATTACGGATATAAAAATGGGTGTATATAGCAAAAGGGGGGCTGTAGTTATAACTTGGGCTCGGGTTGGGGTAGAGCCCACTATAGCCCTCTAA